CTTATTGGCGACAGGAATTATTATTTTTGATGTCAGGGCCCTGCTAAGTTTCCGTGTTGCATATTTCAGCCAATGTTTTGAGTCAGATGATAATCTCTTCGTAGTCAGGGGTTCTCAACGGAAAGCCATTCTATGAAACCTCGGGGCTGATACTGACTGGAGCTGAATGGTGAGTAGCAGCAGTAATGACTGAGCTTAGGGCAGATATAGCTTTGGTTATTGGACTCAGATCGATATGAATGCTGTTATATTTATGTTTATATAAGAAGCTACAAAAAAAGTGGACTCTGTTTGCTAAGGCACGCTCGACGTTTCACCCATACTTAAAAACACATAACTACATCGCGGCTGCATTTGTTGATGTACTTAAATATATGAATAACGATTTGAGTTTTCGGCAGCGCAGCTCTGAGTCCTTCAGAATTTCATTCATCGTGGGACATAACAATATGTTGAATGCCAATCGTGCCGCAATAAAATTTATACATTTGAAAAAGTCAGTGCACAAAATTGTGTGTTATGTCATGAAAATATGAGAACTGTATCAAACGAAAACCACTGGCTAATGAAAGAACCATCAACATATTTTATTCATGCCCTGGGGAACTCTTACGATTCGGAGCGCATGCCGAGCATCAAAATTACAATTGCAGCCCTTAAATTTAATGCCACGAAAAGCTGGGAGTATGTTTGTTTTAACACTTGCAACGAAAAGTAAGAGTCCCCGTCCCCGACCCTGACCCAATCCCGTCCCCGTTCTCTCTCCCTAACTGGCTCTATGGTGATTAGCTAGCTGTGTATGTGCTCGAGTGTACGGCAATCAAATTGTGCAAGCAAGTAACCCAAAGCCACGCCGCAAAGTTTGTTCGGGTAAACAACGTGAAACAATTTAATTAATAAAAATATGCAAATTTAATTACGGGCAGAAGAGGAAACTACAAACTCTTTTGGTATTATGTACATGTTTTAGTCTAAAGTAAAAACCTTCGGGGCACGATACTTTAATGCTTGCCTACCTTAAATTCGACGACTGTTGCACATTCCCCTAATAAGGGCTTTCTAATTGATGTTCGGGTAATTCCGAGCAATGAAAAAAGTTTATGAATTAATTGACTATGAAAAAGTTTCAAGATGCGCACCAAAAAGAAGCGCCGACAGCATTTCCAAATCCCTTGTCATGTTCAGCCACCGCTCAGATCATTTTAGAGACCCCAGACCCCAGACCCGACCCCAATCAAGTGGTCACTTACGCCCACCTCCACTGTTGTTATTTACTTTGTGCAAATTTAAAGAAAATAAAATGGGACAATTAAAAATGTTACACATTGTCGAACCAGTGCTAGGTCTCTTCGTTTTTCTTCAAGCATAAAACACGACAACAAAAAATACAACACCAACAACTGAGGGGCAGCTTTTCAATTAAGTTTTTTAGTTTTTCAAGCGCCTCCCAGCAAAAAAAAAGTGAGCAAAGAAAAACACACACCTGTGCCCAAGCCCACAGAGCTTAGCGACTCGCCACCTTAAAGTATGGTATGCAACAGCAACAGGATGTGCCTCGGCACAGTGGACTACCCTCGAAGTGAATCCATCACTATTGAACATTTACAATTCGTACCTACTGTGCTGTTAAACTTCTATCCTACACCACCTATGATTAGTGGGAAAATAAATCCATTATCATCCTGTTGAGGCCTTACGACAGCAGTTTAAAAACTGAGCTGAACTGCAGAAGTGTAATTCAAGGAGAGTTCACCACCAGGAAATGAATTGTTTTTATTTATATATAGTATATAAAATATATTATATTTCGTCAGAATGGTAACAAATTCTTTTGGTAGACTCAAGTAGCATTAAAACGTTATCTTTTATTCTATGCTTTTATTATGCATACTTTTTTCTATATAATCGGCATATTTACAATGAACTTCAGTAATATGAAAAACATAATATTAATACATACTAGCAAGTATTTGTTTCAAAGCTTTTTTTTGTGAATCCATCGCAGCAATCAATATATTATTTTAATTTTAGTTTAAGATTCTTTTAAGATTAATTAAAGCACCCTAGAAATTAGGTAAAATAAGAATGACTCATGCACGGTATAGTTTGAAGAAGTTAGTACCTGGTTGGTGTATCGATTGAATCCTGAAGACACTGAATTTTTCTATTCTCTATGGTGTATCAATTGAATCTTGAAGACACTGAATTTTCCTATTCTCCCTAAATCATTATCTGCAATAACATTAAATCTTTAGAACAAAGTTTAAGCGAGTTATGCGCAGATTCATTCTGATATCAGGAAGACCAATTAATATTTACAAAATCATTGAACTTTCTAGGCCGGCACTGTATAAATCACACAACATAAAATATGCAGTAAAGGCAAAGTCGATTTCGAAATATCCAGTGCCTTTATGTAGAAAAAAATTAACACATATAAGTATACTGTGGAGTTATTCTTTTTGGGTTGGAAATGTTTCGTCGAAATTTTGCGACGCCGATAATAAAATATGCCAGCATATGTGAGAAACATTACTCGGGCTTTGAAGATGAATATATGTTTGTGCCGTCTGGCCGAATTATACACATTTCAATGCACCCCGTATTTTAAGCTTTAAGCCTTTTCTAAGAGTCTTTATTTTTAGAATCTCTCCCATTACACTCTTTTAAAGCCTCTAATGAGTTTTGTACAGGTCGGATTATTCATATACACACATGTATATAGGGAAGCTAATGATTCGAATTGAAATCATTTTAGCACTCCCTGAAGCTATCCTTAGCTCAACAGAGTAGTTTGATTTTAATTCTCTTTGGTTTCTATTTCCGCCCACCGTTTAATGCCCGACTAACGCTTTTAATTGCGAAGCGGCTTTTCCGCCACTTTGGCGCGACTGCTTTCAGGTTGCATAGTTTTGCAATTATTCATAACGGGAGCAGGTTTGATTAATACCAATTTCAATTATGCAATTTTAATTTGAATGTATATTTTTAAATTAAAAACCGACTGCTCATTAATAAAATGTGTGCGTACGGATTGAGTGACACTTTGAGTTTTGTGCTTCTGTGGGTATTTTAACGCCAAATTGAATAAACAGAAGCATACTTACTTATGAATGTACAGACTATAATGTGTGTGTGAGTCCTTCCGAGTCAACCGAATGCTCATGCATGCATATTTGTTGATTCAAAGTTTTGGCACAAAGCCGTTCGTCCGCAACGATGAGCAGAACAAGAATTTGGGCCAAGTACTTTCTTCGACTGATAAGCATTTGGGAAATTTTGCTGCTGCCTTAATTAATTTCAGCTGTTTCTGCTCTTAATAATGGAAACTTTTGCCGTAAGACATTCAACATGTGAAATATTTGAAGTTTCCGGCAAAACAGCCAACAGTGTCCAAGTCTTTGGACGATTATTGCAACTCTCATCCCCGGACTTGTGTCTACGGCAAACAAACATGTCGGAAAATTTAGCTTAAAAAAGGCAATGCAAGATACTCGTACATAGCCATATTTCTTGTAAGTTAATTGTTATTTTGTCGACCTTAATTATTAAATGGTTTGCGTGCATATTTTAAATGAACATAACTTTGCTTAAAAGCTGCAGTGGCTTTTATTTACTCCCATCCAGCACATGAAGGAGGCGCTAACTCCCATATTGGAGCATCAAATGCGTTCGCTAATCCGAAGATTTTGGATGGCCAGCAATAAAGTTATAAGCCGAAGGTGAAAGCACAAAATCAACTCGAGTTTTGCGACATAAAATGAATATTTTGTATGATGCCCGTACAAGCAAGAGCCAGAAAAAGGTCACATTGTGGCTAGAAAGGTTGTGTCGTTGCAAAAAAAAAAAAGGACAATGAGACACAGAGAATATCCTAGACTATGCACACATGTGAGCCTAAGATCATCAAGGACTTAAATTAAATAGGTTGCTGCTTAGAGCTGCTCCTTTTATGGCTTATTGTTTGGCCAGTTCAAAGGCAATATCTGAAGAAGCCTTTGACGGCTTTATTCGCAATATGAAAATGTGAAATTTTAATAAGCAGGATAAATGCTCGGTTTTTAATAAAATGTCGTGCAGAGGAAAACTATTAGCACACACTTAGAGACTATAAACAAAATGTTTAAATGCATGTTCGATATATTCAGATAAGTTCTGTTGTATATAAACAAAAAATATATATATATACATTATTCCTTTTTTGAAGTCGGTTAAAAAGGGAAGAAAAAGCAACAAATTTCTTCACTAAACATAATTAGTTTTTATTAGTCAACGATATAGCAATTTACGAGGTTGAAAGTTATATTATATGCTTTCTGAAATACAAAAATCATATCTGAACCGAATGAGACTGTTCTGTAAGACTGTAAGACTATCGACGGAAGTTTTTGGATCTAGTGGGGTTGCCAAGCCTGTCTTTAAAACATAATTTGACCAATCTATATCTTTTCTTTACCGCTATGAAGTAAAGAACTGAGAACATATACACAGAAAACACATTGAATATTTTTAATGTCATCTAATTTTTCAAATATAATATCAAGTAATGAGAAAATATAAAAACCATTGCCAGAGTTGTTGTTCTTTTGTCAGATTACATCTGTTTAATTCTTCAACTATAAACCTAGCATTCAAATGGGAAAACTTATATAAAATATTTTGTTTTTCAGCGTTTACAAATGCAATTTATAGAACGAGATTTAGCTGTCAGAAACGTAGTACAATACTTTTACAATTTTTTTTATATCAAAAATAAAATAAATGCAATACAAATTCGTTTGTCGCGTAACGAATTTTCTTTTGAATTATGCTTAAATACGCGTAAATCGTGAAGTTTCTCATCATATATTGTACATAAATGAGTATTGTAGTCCTTTAAAATATATAATATTTAATTTTCATCTTAGAGCCGGCTTAAAGAACACTTCAATGGTGCATTAAAGTATCAACCATAGCTAAAAATATTTCGGTTTTGAACATGTTTTCATCTAAACACTTACCTTTTCACCAAATACACAGCGATATTTCGAATTGAAAACTGAAGTGGATCTGTTGCTGAGACGTTTTCAACAACTTGTTACTTTAATGTTTCACTCTTTAGTTTGTCTTTGGCAAAGAAGATTGCACTGCAAATATACACGGAATGTGAACAAAATTGAAATTTGTCGACACTTTTTAGTTTTATAAAATCTGAAGGGGATTCACCGACGTTGGTCCTACGCTCCACTTGGTATTTCCGCTGATAACTGCACCGCTTTGAAACTAAAACGTTTGTGAAATCGGCAGTCAAAGGCGCACGCGATTTATATGCATGTGCCAGAATACGAAGCGAAGTTCGTACCTAACGGTGCGGCCCCGACGATTCGAAAGATTCTAACGGAAACGGTGTAGATGTGGAGTTGGAGCTGGAGGGGGCCACCCCCTCGGCAACAGCATCGTGCCGAAAGGTAGGAGCCGAGCCAGCGACGAACACGAACACGAACGCCCACGACAATTGACGTTGTTGCGCGATTTTGCGCAGTCATCGTGGCCACATGGCGTATGTGCGATATGAGTGTTGCTCGAATTATGTGCAACACGTGGGCCGAAGGCGACGGCTACGTGCTAAAACAATACGCTAACAGCTGTAAACCGCAACAGAAACGGAATTAACAAAATTGGTAACAGAAATACGGCTGAATCGTATCAGTTTATCAATCACCAATTACGCATAATTATCGCAAAAAATCGTCAGCCGAGCTTATCGGCTATCCCGCTATGATTATTTTCAATTAGTTGACAGCACAATCCAAAAGCCGTCGACTAAATGTTAATCTAAATAAGGCGCCTATCACAATTCGAGCCCTTATTTCGTGCCATTCTTCCCATTTCCGAATTAAGCATTACTGATGTTTTGAAAAATCAAAGAAAGCCAATAATTTGATTCAGTTTTAGCAGCTCACTATAAACAGCAGTATTCACAGAAAAACGAAAGAAGTCGTGTAGACGTAAATATACAGCTGTTTTTTAGAAACCAATACATCAAAAAAAATGCTAAAAAATTCCCTTTTCAAAGAGGAACGGGTCAATTTCTCATAAAGCTTCGCAGTTTTTGGTAAAAAATGAAGGCCCACTTGACTTCATTTCGCACGGAACAACTTGCCAGCATGCGTAAAACATTTATTCATTTATTGATTTAAAATTGACTTAAAACTGACTGACCTTTTAACGTGAAAAGAAATACTGCCACAAGATCTTAGTCAAAAAGAATACAGTGATTTTTCTTAGAGAAACTTTGGCTGCATAGTAATATTAATAGAAAATTCTTTCTTTGATTGCAAAAATATAAATATTCTTTAAATTTCAATTTTTTTTTCAAATTTTCTCTTTTCAAACGATGTCAAAATGAAGCTACAAATATAATAGTAATAAAAATATATCCTGCTCCTGCTCTAGAGACGTAACAAAAAAAAAAAAATCGCAGTGCTCGTACATTTTATTATTTTAAATGACTTGACTTTAGACTTGGTATACTAAGAAAAAGATTAAGGCATCCTTGACTCTAGCATTCGACTTTGATTTTTCGATTCCGAGGCATGTGTATATTCGAGTCAGCGAAGAGTTATGTGGACGTATTCCTTTTTTCTTGGTTGCCAGCATTCCTAAGAGGTTCTACAATGTGCTCTTGCTTTGCTGAACTCCTGCACTTCAAGCTAAAGCAATGACATTTTATTAAAAACAAGTCGATATTATATTATTACAATACCTGCCGTGGGTACGAATTACAATATTCTCCATAATTTTTTAAAGATCAAAGAAAACACAAAAATATTGAATTATGCGTAGTGAACGGCACCAGTTCCAGTATAGTAATGATTCAAAGCTTATCGGCAATATACGCCGTCAACGCTATACTATAAGAGTATGTGTATAAATACCTATAATAATACATTCCTATATATATTTACTATATATATCACAAAAGGGACAACTCATGTTTTTATTTTTTTACTCCTGACTTGTTATAGTTTTTCTACCCTGCACAGGAATGACAAAGAGAGTGTATGTATTATAAAGTATATATGTAGTATGTATCTATTAGAGAGAAGAAATAAATCGATCGAAAAACGCCCGTATTTCAAAAAAGGCTAAACCAACATATAACAATTCCTACATATCACTAGATTTTTTTAATTTTTACCGTTTCGTCCTCTTCACGCCATTAAAGAATTCAGTCAATACTGTCAATACTGAATTCCAAAGATAATCGTAAATTAACTAATTTATTCGTGTGTAATTTTTAATATTCTAATATCATTAACCGACTTGCGGTTAATACTAAGAAAAGAAATCGTCTAATCCACAACCCGGGACAATAGGCTAATTTTTTTTTCTTTTTGATTCGGTTATTTTGTTTGTAACATGTATTCCACTGTCGGACTTTTTCGACTATAATATTCTCAGGTGTATTATTTTGTATTTAGATGAATAATACATAATGTTGTAGAGGCCCCATTACCAGCGTACTATAAGTTGAGTAAACTTTCAAATCATACTCTAAGCGTACTGATCAATAAAAAAAGGCAACATATAATTCTTACTTTTATCTCGGTTGTACATTTCAGTCCTGAAAACCAAAAGGGAACACCAACTCTCAAAATTGAGCTAGCTGTGAAAAATGTATGCTTTCCCAAATAGCACCTAAGTGAGTCAAACGATGTCGGACGGTTGATAAAATATTCATTTGCGTTTCAAGAAGTTGAGTTAAAGCTGATTTAAAGGTTTCTGTTGAACATTTAAATGTAGTCCACAATTGTTGGTGGCAGGCACATCTCCACTCATAATTATGCGCATTGAAATGGTTTGGTTAAAGCATTAATATTGGGCTAGAATTATACATCTGTACATGTGTCAGACAGCCAGACATATGTACATACATATGTATGTATGTATATAATAAGTACTTACACTTATTTTGCTAGTCTTATCATCAGCACGTTTGTTCAGATTCCTAATTACGCCTACTTAATTAGAATTTGGCGCTACGGATAAAATTTGAGTGCGCTCTTTATGATCTGATAACAACCTACATTTGTATGCGCATATACATATACATACATATGTATGTGTACATGTGTATATACACAAATCTATGTACATATATATCTGGCTCTGGCTGTGTTGACATACATTTGTAAGTACATATGTACGTACATACATACATTTATATGAATATTTGCCGACTTACAATTGCGGGCGCTGCAAAAATGCGTCGCTGTGGGCCAACTTTTTATGGCGGTGACAGGCATTGGGCCGACAACGATGAGGACGACTCCCCGACCCGCTAATGATAAAGCGGCAGATAAAAGCATTGCTATGTTTTTTTCGGCCATTTCCGACGTGGTCAGCGTCATTTGTCCATTAAACAAAACGTGATTTTTAATCTCAGAAGCGTGACCGACTATCGACAACTTTGTTCCTCGCCCATTCCCCAACTAACTGCGCCAACTGCCAAAAATTTAGTATAATACTAACAATCCATAAACAATTATTTCTCCGTCTGTTCCGCCTAAGAAGAGCGTAGCGAAAATTTGCGTCTATTTGTGAGGCTATACTATACAACCGAACAAATTTTTGTAATTCGTCTGATTTGTTTAGTGCGTGCATTATTTCAATATTCATGTATTTAATAGTCGTTTTTAAAAATTATATATAGCCTATTTCCCTCTCTTACACTCTCCTAATAAAAATTGGACGCGGCACTAGTTAGCCAAACAGACAATTGGATAGATGGGCATATAGCTTCTTCCACTCTTTCTTCTGCAAGTTAAAGACTTTCGGTGATTGTTGTACAAAAAGTACATAATTATTTATCGAAATTATTATATATTTTGACTATATTTTCATTTAGAGGCGAACTATTTTCCTGTTATATAGTATAAGGGGTAATGCTTCCTTCATTATTATACCCGCAGCCCAAATGTATTAAATCTTATACATACAAGTATTCTACTAAAATGATAACAGGAGATTGTTCAGTCGAAAACCAGACATTTAATCAACACAAAACGCTTCGTATCCGGTTCAGTCAATACTTTAATTTAATATTAAATATTTTAGTTCAAGGTCTATAGTTGGCTCATGGTTTTGACAACCAACTAGAACAACATACTTGTAAATGAACTCAAGTCTGCAACATCAACTAAACTTTCTAGCGCATTAGCAAGGTCGCTAAAAAATAATTTTACAAATTCTCTTTTAAATTTACTTTTTCATTCAAATAATTTATTGCATTTGTCATTTGAGCTGTTCAGCTAAATTACAACAACAACAACAGCTGCTACCAGAGCGTGGGCGGAGCTTCCATTTATTGCTTTAACTTTCTTTGAAGTTGGGCAATTAAAGTAAAACTTGGCACCTGGGTTAATAGGCCCTAAAAATGCGATTCGACAGGACTTTATTCTTGAATTTCAATAATTTTAAATGAGAGAGTGGGAAGTGCACCTTGTTTTCGTGGGCTTCGCAGAGCCTGCATACTTAGTGAGGCAGGGACGCAGGACTTTAGCAGTCTATATTTGTTTCTATTAGTGTAATTAAAAGGGACATTTTATCAAGTTATCTCTATAAGACAATTTCATTCCATTATTCAAGCCAAAATATTTACTAAGCCAGATGAATAATTAAAGCTTGTACTGTCCAAAACCCAAAAGCATTTAAAAGGTAATCTTAAAGTTAGCAAATTCCACGCCTTAAGTTTATGTAGACTCCATTAAGTAGTAGAGCTTTTTGTGCATACAAACATATGCAAATAGGGAAAGCATTTCCCTGTAACCACTTATTATGGCATGCATATATGTAGGTATGTATGTATGTATCTGCATTGCCTGCGGGAATAAAGCTTTGATCGTCTTATTATCCTTCTTCTCAAAGCATCCCCCCATAAAGTGCATTTCACTTTGGAGAAACACCCGTGGCGCAAATGCCAAGTAGTTAGTGCATAGTTTTGGTTTTATGGCCACAAAAGCATGCCAAAGGTTGTTGGCATTTGCTTTGACTTGAAGCGACATTTTTTTGAGCATTAAGCGTTTAATAGAGAGGAACTCCTAAATACAAAACAGTAATAATTTTGTGTAATATAGTAGTATTACCTAGTTCATGCCTGCATAGCTTATTAATATTTATCAATCTTACTCTTCCAGTATTTTCAAAACTAAGAGCTTCAAGGGGCACGGGATTGTTCTGTTTTTGTGACACTTAAACGTCGGTAAATAAGAACAATTTAAGTTTAAAATTTTTACAAGAATTATAGAAGTTGCTCAAATTAATAGAAGTTACAGCCATTAAATTATTTTGAACAATCATTACATTACATTGTATTTATGTATGTATGCTAATAAATGTTTAAAAAAATCATTGGAATTAAATGCTACAATATGCAAGTTTGCATGTCAGGGCCATGTTTCCAATAGCCATAAAATTACGTGTAAATGCAAATTGTGCATAAACCATTTGTTTTTATCATCCTTGTAGCAGAACAATATCAATAGATATATATGCATATCTATTCATTTTTATGGATTAATTTCGATGCGTTGTATGGACACACACGTCCGCGATGCTTACCGCCCAAGAAATTTCTCATCAAATGTGTTTACTTAATGCAGTAAAAAATATTTTAATCATGGCTATGAAGTGCATTGGATATTAAAACTTATACAATCCTAAGTTGAATGTTTCAAATTTAATGAAAATTCCTTTTCTTACTTCTTCTAGTCCTCATCTTCGTCAACTTCTTCACCTTCGTCGTCGTCATCGCCTTCTTGATCACTGGAATCCAACTCGACATTGTCGGCATTACTATCTGTGTCTTCCTCTTCATCATCCTCCTTCTGTTTAGACTGTTCGACGTTTTTATTGCTTTCGTTTGCAGTCGTGCCTTTTACTTGGGTTGCAGGGTCACTGCGCGCCTTCTTTGAGGGCACAGCGTTGTCTTCTTCATCGTCCTTTTCAGCAGCCAACAGCTCGGCGCGTTTCTGTTGCAACTCAATTCTGCGTTTTCTCTGCGTACTATTCAGCTTGACGAACTCGGCATCCTTAGTGAGTGTAAAATTGCCTAGAACTGCATTAGCTTCTTGCTTCATCTTTAACATCCGCTGCTCCTTTGGTCCCACAACATACGGTGTCTCGGGGGGACTGCACATGCTTATATACAGCGGCAGGGCGGAGGTACCCGCAATATCTATTTTAATAAACAGCGATCGTACGTTGGCCAACCCACCAGGATATACGCGTTTCAATTGCTCCGTGACAAGCAAAATATTCTCCGCTAGCTGCGCAGAACTATGTTCATGATTGCCAATCGGAATGGAAGTTAAATCGCCCTTCTCTAATTGTCTGTAAGCAGTGCGATTGAGGGCACGTGTAATTTCTGCTTTTATATTTTCTGGTTTGGTCAGATGGACGGCGTGCAGCACATTGCGTGGCTTCTGCGTACACTGTAAAATAGAAAACGTTGATAAATTAAATATTAAAAATTGTGATAATTGGAATATTATTGTAGTTATGCGTTTTAAGTTACCTGGCCAAGGAATGCAGTCGCGTGACCCGAGATACGTCCATCGCAGAGCAAATAATCATAGCTGTTAACGAATTTGCGCTTTGCCTCATACGTGCCCATCTCCTGTCGCAGCTGATTGAAGGGCACCACCTTCAGGCGCTGCTCCACACCTAACTCACGCAACAAGTCCTCATAGTGCTGCTTGGTCGGCTCATATTCAAAGCGGGCTCCGCGTTGCAAATCAGTGACAATGAGCGCTACATCATCGTTTTCACCAACCAGCGAATGATTCAGATTTAGCTTGACCATCCGCTTCGGACAGCTGGCTATTTTGAAGCTGCATACTTGCAGCAGATAACGAAAGTCGCTGAAAATAGATGTCGACTTTTGTTTTTGAACCTCGGCGGCTGCTTGAGTTTTCAGCGCCTCTACAATGGCTTGCACTTTTGATTTGCAGACGATTTCATTAAATTGTTCAATATCAAGAAGTTTTAAATCGTATTGAAGCTCCTCTTTGTTTTTCTTTTCGATCTTCTTGCTTCCCTTGCTGACTTTGCTACCCTTTTTGTTTTTATTAAAACGACCCTTGTAAATTTTCTTGCCGACAATTGGTTTCTTTGTCTTGGTCAGTTCTTTTGCCTTCTTAACAACTTTCTGCGATTTGACTGCAACTGCATTCGTCTGATTTTTGGCAGGCTTGGACACTACGGATTTATTTGCTGTTTTCACTTGCTTTAGTGGCTTGACTTCCTTCAGTTCTTTTGCCTTCTTTGCACTTTCGTTTTTAACAACATTCTGCGATTTGACTGCAACGGCTTTCGTCTGATTTTTGGCAGGCTTGGACGCTACGAATTTATTTGCTGTTTCCACTTGCTTTAGTGGCTTGACTTCCTTCAGTTCTTTTGCCTTCTTTGCACTTCCGTTTTTAACAACATTCTGCGATTTGACTGCAACGGCCTTCGTTTGATTTTTGGCAGGCTTGGACGCTGCGGATTTATCTGCTGTTTCCACTTGCTTTAGTGGCTTGTCTTCCTTATTTACCTTTGCTGGTTTAGTGGCCTTCTGATTCTTTTTGGTACTCAATACGACAGGTGACTCAGGTGGTGCCAAAACCTGTGGTTTTGTGGTTGCTTTTGCCTGTTTAGCACTCTTCTGGACTTCATTCTTTTTTATAGGTGGTGTAGCCGAAGGCGACTCTGGTGGTGCTAAAATTAGTGGTCTTTTAATGGCTTTCGCCTTTTTTTCAACCGCTTGTTTGGCAGGCAATGTTGTTTTGACAGACTTTGTTGGTGCCTTTTTCGACACTTCCACGGGGTTATTTGCGCTCACTATCTTCTTTTTTAACAAGGAGGAAGCTACCGGTGGTTTCGATTCTGTAGCCAGCGCCGCTTTAACTTTGTCCACATTCTGCTTCTTCTTAGTAACGCCTTTGCCTTCATGCTGTTTGCTTAGAGATTTAGGCAAGGGTTTTTGTACTTTTACCATTTCTGAGCTTTGAATTTAAGAATTGAAACTCGGCGGAACAAAACAACACGTGCAAATGTGGTACTAGTATGTGCGTCTATCGCGCCAACAATTTTATCGATTAAGTTCCAACTATCGAGACCATATAAGTTACAGTGCTGCCAAGTCACAGGTAGGCGCACAGTTTAAAACTATGAAAACTCAATGCAGGAGTTAGCAATATGGTACTGAGTATTCCTGCTATCAAAGTCGTCTGCTTTATTATTTTAAGCAAATACATTGTAAAAATAGAGCCAATAGTGCGTCGACACGCGCGCCTAATAACATGCTGGGCCGCCAAGTGTCCTTGGCCCCCACGCACTCAAACATACGTAGACACTTCTACAGATGTACAAGTATACATATATGTATACCTACATATGTACATAATACAATAGCCAAACAGGCTGCGCGTGGCAGCGCGCCCATGGTGCCAAATTAGAGTTTTCTACAAAATTTTCGCTGCTTCAGCTTGCTCGGCTAATACGTGCAAGGATAATGTGAGCCAAAGTTGTCGCCTGCTGCATATGTGTGTACATACATACATACATATGTATGAGTGTGCATGTTTAATGGCTGTCATCATTTGAGCGGCACGTGACTGGAACCTCGACGTTTTGACGTCACGGTATAAAGTTTTGGATGAATAGAAAAAATGTTTGCATTGGCAAAGTAAATGTAATTAAAACAGTTAACCGAAAGAGAAAACTTAATACATATGTATGTATATACTTATACATTGTTAAAGTTTTAGCTTTTTTGCATTCGCCCTGCCAGCATTCTTTTCAGGACGTTTTTTGCCTTTAACAACTGTGGAAGCTGTTGTGTCCTGGAGTTTGTTGAAGAAAGCCTTTGACGATTTCAGCGCGCTCTGATCGTTGCTGCTAGTGATCTATAGAAGAATATAAGACGAATTTATTAAAATCACAACAATAGTATTAGCCTTATGAATTCGACCTATGAATGACCAAATACCAATAATATTAAATTCCTAACAGTTTTTCGATTTACACACATTAGACCAACTCAAATCTGTTCTTTATAAGCGAAAGGGCAAATACCTTTGCAGAACAATTTAGAATATGGTCAGAACAAACAATTTAACCAATTTAAAACACATTCCTCTCAAAATGGTTATATTTTCAACCTTAAACTAACCAAAGACTTATTGTTTTCGGCTCTGCAAATATCAGATCATCGTAACAGACACTCTAGGAAGCCTAGAAGGCAATATGTCTTGATAATGACTATTTTAAAACCTGGTGCTAAGCTAATGAAGCAGTTTGGAAAGTATCGTAAAATCGTACATGTCCGCCTTAAAAATAATCTGCTCACCTGTTGCACGTTGCGGCTCTTGGTAATGCTCTTGAGGAGTTTAGCATTCGCGTGGCGCTGTGTGGGCGCCTTGCCTAACTTCGCTCGTGTTTGCTCCCGTGCCTCCACTGCTGCGTTAATGGCTCGCTGCTTCTGTTTCTTCTTGCGTCGTTCACGATTCTTGTCTGTACGCGTCCGCTCCTCTTTTCCCAACGGCGCATGCTTCGGACCACGATATACTTCCTCTGGAGCTAGCAGCTTGGCATCACTAACGGCCACCGGTGCCACTTCTTCCATTTGCACGGCGGGAGTATTAGTGACAACTTTGATTTCGGGAGCAACTGGTTTGGGGGTAAAATGAAAATTGGATAATGCATCCAGTTTTAGAAACAGCGTACGTAGAGCACGTCTTATTTCCTGATGCTCTTTCGGCTCGGGAATGTTGCTTTCGTCGCCAGCCTGACGATTTGGATCGAGTTTGTCCAACTCGCGCTGATATTCTTTCTCGTAGACCTGTGCCAGCGACTCCTTAGACTTCTCCTGATCGAGCACCAACTGCTTACGATATTCCTGTGGAGTATGCACAGGTCGTACGGTACGCTCCACATCGTCCCAGGCGCGATCGCGAATGCGTTGCTTTATCATTTCTTCGATGGTTCTATTATCCTCCTCCGTAATGGCCGCTGCTGGTCGTGTTGTCGAATCGAATTCAAGTATTTCCTCAAGCAGTGAATTTTGCGGTCTATTTGCAGCCTGTACCTCGCCCTTCAGTTGCCAAGGTTTCTCTCCAAGCACAATTTCCTCATAGTCCCGTATACGCTGCATCAGACGTGCCTCACGCAGATCGTTGGACGACTGCGCGGCTTGTGAGTCAGTATGGTCATCACTATTTGAATCATTGTCGTCGTCCTCATTATCGTCACATTCGGAATCGTCAGCTGGTTCAATGCCTGACCTAGTCACAAAATCGGCATCATCAATTTCACTGGTTTGATCATCTGGCATATGCTGCTGTTTCTTTGCATCAGTGCTAACTACTTCTGTCGTTCTTTCCTCACTTTCTAAATCATCTGCTTCTGGGTCTGCATCATCGCTTTCATCTTCGTTGAAAAAGTCCCGTTGCTTGACCCTCGGACTTAGCGTTTCCCGTTGAGATTCGCCAAAGAAAGTTCGATAGTCTGCATTTCCCTCCTCTTCCTCATCATCAGATTCACCCATTCCCCAACCAGATGAAAAGAAGTCGACGCCCTCAACATCTTCAACTTGGGATTTGCTTTTGAGTCTGCGCATTTCTTTAGCATCTTCTTGTTCTAAAAACTGCTTCATTTCATTCAACTTGAAGAACTCATCGTCAACTACCGAACTGCGAATCTTCTTGCTAGTTTTTGTTTCTTTTCCAGGAGCTGGCATTGATTTTAGTTTTTGTGCCTTTTCTTCGGCTTGCTTCTCCTCCTCTTCCTCCTCGTCATCTTCCTGCTCCTCGTCTTCATTCTCTTCCAACTCAATGCCAAGATGCTGCTCCTTCAAAGCCGTTAACTCCGCAGTTTGCTTGATCAGCTGAGCCAAAACTAATTCATTGCGGATTTCCAACTGCTGCCAAATTTGTTCCTCGTCCATATCTTCAAGTACAAGCTCCGGCAGTATTTCCTTCTTGTTTTCGTCATCTCCGCTTATACTGATAGCATATGTTTGTTGTATGAGGTCCTTTATGGCATTGCACTTTTCCGGCTGCGGCCTAAAAATAAAACATACATATATGTATCTCTTAAGTTTTGACTCCGAACACGTGGAAGTGATCGATTTTAATAAACAAACTTGAGAAAGTGCTCTGCATGCTTAGTAAGTTGCTCAAAGCTGGCCGCAACTTCCTTGTAAACGTTAGGTTTCTTTATTTTCTTTTTTGCGGTACTCATTTTTTTGCAAATCTATTTTTTAAATCTTAAACAAACTAAAAATGTCTTAGGCAAGTAAATCGAATGCAACACATCAAAACAACAACAATTTGTGATGGCAGCTTACACTTTTTTCTAGCTAGCATATATCGCTAATATAGTGCTATTATCGATAGGTTCGATCTGCCACCACTATCACTTATCGTCAGCTGCTGCGGCAGCCGCCTGCAAATAAAAAGAAAAGAATGTTTATTGTGTATTAAACGCGTTTATTTAATATTATACGAAAAGGGAGCTGACGATGGACCTTAGGTGTTACAAGTTGCTGATTTTGGGCGGTGCCGTGCGCCTTTATTTTAGTCGCACGCCACTTGCCGGTCTAATATCAAATCGTGTGGAATTTGCAACGCCTTTAAACTCATATAAACGCAGTAAGTTAAATTGCTCTGATGTACATGCATATGCACACAGATTTATGGCCTACACCCTTCTGCTCAGTGCAAGAAGGCGTTTATTTGTTGCAGCATGGTATTGATCCCTATGGTGGTGATTTGGTGCATGAGACGCCATTGCTACTCAGAGCCATGTCCACCATTTTCACAAGTTACCCGGAGTTCCTGCCATTACTCTACATTCTTCTGGACTTGTCCACCGCTGCCCTTCTGCATTTAATGAGCTCAAATTTTGTGCAACAAAAATTACAACAACAGCGCTCCGAGCTCAAAAACTATGCCAAAGATACTGGCGAGCTTCAGTACACCGAGGATGATAAATACGATATAGCGGAGCTTGTTCTTATTGCATATCTGTTCAACCCTCTGACTGTGATGAACTGCATCGGATTAACTTCTACAGTATTTAGTAATTTAATACTCGCATTGTTATTGTATTCGCTAATGAAGCGCCAGCTCTTGTTTTGTCTGGTACTGCTCTCCTTTGAGACCGTTCGAAGTCTCTATCCCGCCGTGCTCATCGCGCCTCTGCTACTGATTTTTGCACGCCGTTCCATTTGCGCGGGCGTAAGCATATTCACGCTCTTTGTGGCCTGCTGTATGGCCATGGCTGGGGCCAACTTTTTGGTCATGAACAGTTGGAATTTTTTGGATGGAACGTTAGGTTTCATGTGAGTACACACGATACATACATTTATATGTTGAATCTATATACATATGTCAATTGGCACTGCTATTTAATCGAGTCCCTCTTCTATTTGCAGCTTTCACTTTCGGGATTTGCAGCCAAATATTGGACTTTTTTGGTACTTCTTTACCGAAATGTTTGAACATTTTCGCACCATGTTCCTCATCACATTCCAGCTCAATGCCACCGTTTTATATCTCGTTCCATTGGCGGTTAAGTTGCGCAAGGAGCCGTTGCTTCTGGCCACAGTGCTCATAGCTCTCATGGCCGTTTTCCGTGCATATCCAAGTCTGGGCGATGTAGGATTTTATTTGTCATTGCTACCACTGTGGCGACGCTGCTGGAAATGTAAGTAGATGAATGCTAGTTTTTGAAATTCAGACCTAAGCCCCACTTCTTATTGTGTTCGTATAGATATGTCACACGGATTTGTGGTCTTTGCCTTCTTTCTCATCACGCTTGTCATGATGGGTGCCCTTTGGCATCTTTGGATATACGCCGGCTCGGCCAATGCAAATTTCTACTTTGGCGCTACCTTGGCCTTTTCCACCGGCCAAATTTTTCTGATCACAGACTTGTTGTTCGCACATGTTAAACACGAATTTTGTCTGTACAACGGCCAAAAGATCATTATCAATGGCGAGGAGGCACGGATACTGCTAGAATAAGTAATGACAACACATTCAAATTAAAATACAACAAAAAACAAACACATTTTATTCAGCAATATGCCGCAGTTCCCATGTGTCTGCGAATTACTGCTTCGAGTATCCCGTCTTTGTCTTACGATTAAGGAATTTATACAAGTAAAGAATACGCTTTTCCATCTGCTTCCACTTGGTGGGTCGTGCCAAAGGTGCTACAGTCTTCTCGAGAATACGCCGTTTACGCAACAGTACCTGATACTCGTTGCCTGAAACTCCACGCAGCCAGGAGGGCACAGAGTAGAGCACACGCGTTGGATGCAGTCGTTCAGTGCCCAAGATGTCTATGTAATCGTTTTGGCCAAAAAGAGCGCGTTTCTGCGACCATGCATTCTTAGGCCTGTATGTTGGCATTGGAAGTTTCTGTCCATTGTCAAAATGTGGGAGCAGACCGCCTTGCAGCAGCTTTTCCTTGTAGCCATAGCGTCGCACGGTCGGTCCATTAGCGCGGCGTTCGGCATGCGACAGCTGACGTACGCTTACGGTTCCAGCAGCAGAAACCGGTCTGCACACCTTTTGCAATATTCCGCTTAACCAGGACATTGTGCGGCTATGATTAGATAATTGTAAACACCACGCAGAAAGAGCACGCCGAGAAATACCGATATTTATCGAATGCTGTGACCCATCGATAAGAACGCGGCACAGTGGGTCAGTTTCGTGTAACATCAGACAATGGTGGTATTCCTGCATGTTATTTTAGATTAGTAACATTTCCACAAACGGTCATCACAAATAGCTGATTTACAAATATGTAAATATGCTTATTATTTACCCATACTCTGCGTTCAGCGTTTGACTTCGAAGGTTTATTTTGATTTCCAATTTTTCAAATATAGTCTCTGTATAGTCGAAAAAGTACACAAATATATTAAAGATATTTAACGTTTATAGCTTAATGTCACCATGTCGTCAAGCCATCAAAAATCAAATCTATGCTTTCAAATATTTATTAATTAATTCATTAAAAAGTAAACGATTATAAAAACCAGACAAACTCTTCAAATAGAATCAATTTTAAAATGTGCAAAAAAAATCTATAAATTTAAAAAAATATAAATATATTAAAATTCATTCATTAAAAATTCAATTCTACCAATTTAATTCTTCGTTGAATTCGGGTATTTGGCAATATCTTAAAGAAATAAATGATGGGCGATGGTTCCACCACTGTGTGCCGATTTTGATTTAATGTTTTGTCATCGCTATTGCATCAAAGGTTCTCACAGGTTGCTTGAACGTAGTTTTCTCAATGGATAACTTGAGCTTGCAGAAACAGGATATTGAAGAACTGCGAAGTGAGATTGCAAAATTGCGGGCTGCGCTTTACACCAAAGAACAGCAATTGCAGGACCTGGAGCAGTTGCACGCACAACAAAGTGGCAATGATCCGGACTCGGCGGTTGTGCAGCAGGAGCATGAAGAAAAGGCTGAGGTACACACCCATCTGACGAATGATGACATTGCCCGATTCAGTCGCCAGCTTATACTGCCCGGTTTTGGTGTGCAGGGGCAGCTGAAGCTTAAAAACAGCGCTGTGCTTATTGTGGGCATGGGTGGCTTGGGCTGTCCCGCTGCCCAGTATTTGGCTGCAGCAGGCTGTGGCAGACTTGGTCTGGTTGACTACGATATAGTGGAGCGCAATAATTTCCACCGACAAACCCTGCATTCAGAAAAGAAGGAAGGCATGTCAAAGGTGGATTCGGCGCGTATTGCACTTCTGGAGCTAAACTCAAGCTGCCAGATTAAGTGCCATACGCGGTTGCTGAACAGTTTAAACGCGTTCTCCGTACTTCGTGCCTATGACGTCATACTCGATTGCAGTGACAATGTTCCCACTCGGTATCTGCTGAACGATGCCTGCGTTATGCTGGGCAAGCCGTTGGTGTCGGGAAGCGCCCTGAAGATGGACGGCCAGTTAACTGTGTACAATTATGGAGCTGATGGGCCTTGCTATAGGTGTATTTATCCCGTGCCTCCGCCGCCCGAGGCTGTGACGAATTGCGGCGACGGCGGCGTTTTGGGCGCTATAACCGGGACTATTGGAGCATTGCAGGCGCTTGAGGCTATCAAGGTGATTGTGGGCCTTGGCGAAGTGCTTGCTGGTCGACTACTTATATATGATGGATTCAGTAATTTGTTTCGTAACATAAAAATACGGTCCAAGCGGCCCAATTGTCATATTTGCTCTGCGGAACCGCTTATTAGGGACCTGATTGACTATGAGCTATTTTGTGGCATGCACGCCACCGACAAGGACAATCCGTTGCAGCTGCTCGAGCCGGAGCAACGGCTGAACGTGTTCGAATATCAGGAGCTGCAGTCTGCGCCGCACCTGCTGCTAGATGTGCGCCAACCGGCAGAGTTTGAGATTTGCCAGCTGCCCAGTGCCGTGAATATGCCATTGGCTGAGATCCTGGACGATAGTTATGTGAAGCGCTTTTCCAGCCAGCTGGAGAGCAAAGAGTTCCCGATTGTTGTGCTCTGCCGACGTGGAAATGACTCACAGATAGCTGTTCAGCACATGCGAAATCGCTATCCAGATCATTCGATACGGGATGTAATTGGTGGACTGCATGCTTGGAGCAACAAAGTGGATAATGGTTTTCCAATTTATTAGATATAGGGGGATAGTAAATTTAGTAAGATTCAGAAATGTTTCAATTTATATTATTTATACAAATATATTATTAAAATAAATACACAAAAATGAGGTATGTACAAGACGAAGTGAATAATAATAATGGTATATAAATAAGATTAAACTATCTCGACAAACTGATATTTTTAAAAAACGACAATGTAAAAGGATTTTTTTTTAACAATAGGCAGTTGCACTCAGTCATCACAATTAGACAGATTTAATCACTTAAAAGTCGCATCGTTGCTTTTCACTTATCAAAAACAAAGTCTTAAGCAGGGTTCGTAAAATGCGAGCAAAGCTCATTCGGACACACGAGAAATTTTGCCGCGGGTCGCCATGAGTCGCTGCCGACTGAAGCAGAGTGTCGTCTGAGCCGTCTGGCAGAGGCCATGGGCCGTGCGGGTCGGCCGTGGGTCGCTGCCGACAGCAGAAGAGTGTCGTACGAGCCGGGCTGCAGAAGCCGAGGGCTCGTTTGGTATGCTTGTGTGTATATATTTTTTAAGGCGACATTCTGCTGCTGTCGGCAGCAACCCACGATACCCGCGGGCTCTGCCGTCAACGACCCACTAATACCCGCGGCAGAATTTCTCAGCAGGTAGTGAGCACATTTTACGAACCCTGGTCCTAAGGCCACATAATGGGCAAATATATTAACACTATATATTTCAACAAATATAGTATCCAGAGTTATAATAAAAATTCTATTTTGTAGGGTATGCAGTCAATTGAAAGGGTTTAACGTTTAGCTCTAACCGAAAGAAATCAATTCATGTAGACTTGTGCATCGAAAAGCAAGTCATTCAGATAAGGACCGCAATGATAGCAAAACGACACATATAGTACGAGTATATGTACATATAATTGAAGATTCGCGGCACAATTTTGATATGACTTAGGTCATTATCGCAAAATGTATACAAGTTGACTGGAAGTTTTGATTAGGTATGAATATTATTCAGTCGATGTAAGCAAGTGGTGCTGATTAGATCATGAGCGGAGTACCCGAAATAAAGTTCCTGGACCGAATTATTGGACCGTACGTAGATGGAGCCGAGTTATCCCTCTACGAAAGTCGTTATTTAACCAAACCTGGCGATAACTATGGAAGTATTATGCTGGCTATCAATGCCAAAATCGTCCGAGACCATGGCAGCGTAGAGGAACTGCCTTTAATTGCGAAACTGCCCCCGCTTACCAACGATCTGTATTGGCAGCTCTTCCAGCCCGAACGCACTTGCATTAGTGAGAACGCCGTCTATAAATATTTGGCACCAGAGCTGGAAAAGTTGCAGCTCGAGGTTGGAGTCCTGCCTTCGAAACTTTTCGATGGGTTTTCACGTTACTACGGTTCGAGAATTTCCTTAGATGAGCAAGCAACTACTGTAGATAGAGATGCAGTACTCGTGCAGGAGAACCTAACGGTTCGCGGCTATAGGCCTGGAAATCGACACAAAGCATACGATTTAGCACATACGGTTCTCAGCCTACACTACTTGGCTAAGTTTCACGCTTTGCCCATTGCCTTACGGTTGAAAAAACCGGAGACCTATAACAAATTCGTGCGACCATATTTCAAAAAGTTCAATATGAATGCCAGCATGAGTGCGGAGGCCAAGAATGTTATGAATGAAGAAAATTTGGCCGATATCTATACAATTACTAATAATAACGAAATTGATGTTAAAAGAGTCCAAGAATTGCAGGAACTCTTTGATGCCTATCAAGAGAGTGCAGATGTGGATGATGGTCCGTTTACGACTATCGTTCATGGTGATTTGTGGATCAATAACATGATGGTGAAATATGGTAAGGATCCCCATAAACCAAACAATCATAGCCACCAGAACTAATCAATCATTTATAGACGATGTGGGGGTGCCGACTAAGTTGAAAATTGTTGATTTTCAAATCGCCCAATATGAGTCGCTGGTTCATGATCTGATCTTCTTGTTTATGTCGAGTGTGGAAACTTCGGTCCTGGAGCAGAATTATCATAACTTTTTGAGAATATACCACAATGTATTTATTCAGACGTTGCGAGAAATTGCAGGCGTCATAGATACAAATGAGTATAGCTACGAGTCGTAAGTACTTTACAATATCAAGTAAAACAATTTATATAATCTCATAATGACTGGAAAGCTCTGCTTATCATAACTATATTTTTATAGCCTGTACCCAAAGGGTAAAAAGCTATATTAGTTTTGTGCGAATGTATGTAACACACAGAAGGAGGCGTGGCAAACCCCACAAAGTATATATATTATTTATCAGGATGACAAGACAAGTCGATATAGCTATGTCCGTCCGACCGTCGTCTGTCTGTATGAGCGCAACGATCTTAGCAATTACAATAGCTAGGATAACCAAACTTGGCATTCAGATTCCCCTACGCCCTAGGCAGATCGAGTTTGTGTTTTTTTTTCTGATACACCGCCCCACTCCCCCGCAATTCGTGTTTTTCCTAACTCCGATAATTCTTGGAATTTTGAACTCATAATTTAGACATATACATATCTTCTAATTTAATTAAATTAATTAATTAATTAATTCAATTTTTTTTAATAATTAAAATTTTTTTTTTGTGGAGAGTACAGGCTATTTTACTGTCGGGCTTGCTCGACTGTATCGTTCTCTCTTGTTAAATATGATATGATGGAGTTTTTCATAAACATAGAAACATATGTATATTATGTAATATTTGAGCATAATGTCTGTATAATCAGCTCAAATGCGACATAAAAGGAAGCTTAACCAAATATATATTTAATATACACATATATATGTATATATTTACAGTTTCCTGGCGGAAGTACAACGTGTGGCGCCCATTCAAATTCCCCATGCTATATTTATGACAAAGGTTATAAAAGCCGACAATAAAACAATTCCAGATGATTTTAAAGATGTCGACTTCACTGTTTTGTCGAAGAACAAAGGAGTACCGGAAGTTATGGAAAAACTTAGTGATATAATAAAGTTGGCGAAGAAGTTTAATATTTTTTATTAGTGATATAAAAATTGCAACGGCATTAACCAGAGAATTCAAAATTGCAGATGCTCTAAATTAGACGATTTTTATTGAACGTCATGTGATGCTTTATTATTAACCAACTCTACATACCTACATACATATTTATAAATGTAATATATATTTAAATGTTCATATAAAATATATAACAATAGTGTATAATAACTTCGGAGCTCTTAACTTAAGAAATATACACTTTTTAACCGATAATTATATAATATAGTGGCTAGTCAGTTTTGATTGAAATTGAAGTAAATACTTGAAGAATTAGATGGTGAACCGCAAGGTTTCGATTCGTCTCAAGGTATCGACCATTTCGAGGTTTTAAATATCAGACTTAAAAGGTCCTGATATGTCAATGAAATGCTAATAATCTAAAGCTACCCAAAGGGTAGAAGGGTCTTAGCGCGAATATACATTCATATGGAAATCTATGACGAAATCTGTCTATATAGTCATGTATATCTACATACATGTCCGTCTGCCTGAATGAAAGCAAGGATCACGGAAAGCATAAGAGCTAGAATCAACTTGGTATTCGTATTCTTCGAAGCTCGAAGCAGAACAAGTTTGTCTTTCTTCCAGATGCAGCTCTCTAATCCCTTGGCATCAGTTTTTGTTGTTCCCTTTCTAATTCATATATATGTAGTACAAATATACATGTGTAAAAATATACGATAAGCTACTATGTAATACATACATACACAAGGGCGTTGGCAGGGAGGGTGGCAGGGGGGCCGTTGCCCTACAAAAAACTGTTCCATACAAAGTCGACCACACGTTCATTATTATAACGCACTATTTCGCCTTAGAATGGAACTGAGTTGGATTTGTTGAAGTTTCTTCATTGATCATATGCATAAATTATTTTTTAAATGCATCGTGCATTATTTAATCAAAATTTAAATTTTTTGGCGCCCCCCTTTGGTAAAAGCTGCCTACGCCCTTGTACATACATATGTACATACATACATATATTCGATTAGCTGTCAAAGTAGCGATTTGTGCAACAAAGTTTGTTTTGCATACATAGTTGGTTATCATATGTGGATCATACCTTCGGTTTGAGGGTATGACTTAGTTTTAATTTATTAATTTAATTTTAATTTAATTTAATATTTACAGTGTAAACTCTCTTAATGGACACTCCTCTTTTATCCGGACACTGTCTTCGACGGACACTTTTTCGATTCGATCGGTGTATAACGTATTTAAGTATCCCCTTAAGCGGCCAAAGATTTGTCGACCGTGAGTGTCCGGCCAAGGAGTTTTCACCGTATTTGTTTATTTACTTATTTTTTTAAAAGTGCGTACAAGCATATCAAGAGTTCGGTGCAAATCTAGCGTTTCATTCTTTTTATACCCTGTACCCGTAGAGTAAAAAGGGTATATTAAGTTTGTGCAAAGTATGTAACATGCAGAAGGAAGCATCTCCGACCCCATAAAGTATATATATTCTGAATCAGCACGACGAGAGAAATCGATCTAGACATGTCCGTCCGTCTGGATGAACGCAAGCATCTCAGAAACTATGCATAAAAGCTGGAACAACCAAAGTTGGTATCCAGATTCTCCTAGGTCCAAGAAACGACGAGTTTATTTATTTTTTTTTAATTTTCCCCCCTTCCCCCGCTACAGAATTTCGTCAATAGCATCCACATTTCAAATGCTACCTAAACCAAACTTTGCACACATAATTTATATATAATTATCTACTGTTGTTTAAAATTATTCAATTCGGTCAATTCTAAGAAAAGTTATTAGCAAAACAAATTCTCGCCAGTACAACCCCCCCAAACTGCAGCAACAAGTTCGCTCTTCTTCTTCCTCTTTTTGCTGCTGCTATGGGCGCATATACCTCAGTGACGGAAGTTTACCTGGGTACAGGGTATTTCACTGTCGGGCTTGCTCTCTCTCTTGTTTTCTAGTTCATTGTTTAGATTTGCAAAGACAAATAAACATAGTATATATGTACATATTTACATATGTACATGCAGATGTACGTACATACGTATGTATAGATGTATGTATGAATAGGTGAATGTATGTACATACATATGTATGTACATATATACAATGCACATCTAGCCGAAGAGCATATAATATTTCCCCACTGGGTCGGAGGCGTTAATTAGATATTATTGTAATTTGATTAGATTTCTCCTTCTTAGGCTTTTCTAGCTTTTAAGATGCTTTTTATAATTTTTATATATTTCCTATGTCGACAGTCAATGTTTGTTGACATAAATAAATAAATATGTATGTACACAGTTTCTATGCAATAAAGGTGACGTCCATTTGCAAACAGCTGAACAGCTGACAGCCTCTGATTACCGGCCGCACGAGACACATGAAACCGTGCGCAAAGCGACGATTAAACGGCAGGTGCAACATTTCTTTTATTGTTCTCTTTCGCTCTCAACATTTTTGCTCTTGATAAGTCGGTGTGTGTGTGCGTGTATTTGTGTGCATGTGTGTTGGTGTTGATGCGCGCGCATTCGTTGCATAAAAGCAGCAGTAGCGGTGCCTTATGGCCGACACATGTTTGGAATGCATGGACTCGAAGACAAAAGCGTGAAGAGCAGAAGCAAAACAAAGCAAGCGACTGGTAGAATTAAATGAAATGCAAAAGCAAAACTAATTGACAAAGTAAAAGGAATTCAAAGTGCAAAAGTTACGAACCCAGAGCTCCAGATTGCTGCTGAGCAGCCGATAAGCGCGTCTCAGTAATCAAATCGGCTCGCATTTCCATTTCAACTGCGAGATCGTAAAGACGTGAAGTGTAGAAAACATGCACTTCTTCATCGCAGGTAGCTGCTTGTTGGCGGTGCTGGTGGTGTTGCTGCCCAATGCTCGAGCAGCGCCCGAAACATGCTCAGCGCCCAGCGCCAGCTGCGCGGGGGAAACGCTGCAAGTGCAGCGCTTCTTCGAGCAGGAAAACGAGATGCTGCGTCAGCGTCGCCGGGAGGAGCACTTGGCTGCCTACGTGTACAATACTAATGTGACGGAGGATAATCGGCGAGAGATGGTTGCGGTGATGGCTCGGAATGCTAGGCAAAGCAAATTGCTGGCAAAGGCGATCAAAGAGGGTGGCTATCAGAGCAGCGGGAATGCGACTATTCGCAGACAAGCACGTTTTCTGTCCAATTTGGGTGCGGAAGCTCTAGATGAGGATGACTATTTAGAGCTACAGAATGCGATAACCAGCATGCAGTCTAATTATGCCACAACCACGGTCTGCTCCTACATCGATCGCACCAATTGTACCCTCACTTTAGAGCCGCATGTGCAGGAGCGCCTGGCAAACAGTCGAGATGCGGAGGAGCTGGCCTGGTATTGGCGCGAGTGGTACGATAAAGCAGGCACCCCGATGCGGGACAACTTTGCCAAGTATGTGCGCTTGACTCGCAAAGCTGCGCAACTAGAGGGTGAGTAGGGCGAGACTGATAAGTATATATGTATGCATGATATGCAATAGTGACCTAATGGCTGATCTTTATACGTCAATTATCTGGCTATCTGTAGACTGCTGTAAAAATCGGCACAGACGTTTTTGTGTTCTGTTCGATTTCGATAATCTCTATATATATAAAATATATAGAATAGTTTGTCCTGACTGACTGACTGACTGATTGGCAAACAACGCACAGCCCAAACGGTAAGAGCTAGGAAGCAGAAAGATCCCACTCACATTGAAAGTGAGCAGTAAGAAGGGGTTTTGGAAAATTCGAACTCCAAAGGGGGGAAAACGGACTCCAACGTTTGTATGAAAAATCTACAATTTTCAACCGAATAACTTCAAACTTAGTTTGTATACTCTCATAAAGAATACAAGAAAAACTGAATACTTGGTTTTTCGCTAGTTGGATATAAAATATGTCCACACACAGAATAACTGAGATTTTACCCGTTCCAGTAACTGCACTAAGCACTGATTTTTGAAAATTCATAGTATCGGTTTTGATTACTATTATACTTGATTGTGATTTTTTTTGTTTTGATTAACGATTCCGGAACGGCTACATATTCAGTTTATATGTTGAATTCAGTTTGGGACTGCAATAATTAATTGCTTGCTACGAATGATTAGTAGTGTGTGATTGGCTCTAGATTTCGAAATTGCATTTTATTACAGATTTCCGCTCATATGCCGATTACTGGATCCATTTCTATGAAGATGCGGACTTTGAACGTCAGCTAGATGCCACATATAGGGCTCTCCTGCCGTTCTACCGCCAGATTCATGGCTACGTACGCTATCGGCTCCGCCAGCACTATGGCAGTGAGGTGGTACCCGCCGAGGGCAATATTCCAATGCATCTGCTAGGCAATATGTGGGCACAAAGTTGGAACGAAGTCATTGAGCTATACACGCCCTACCCAGAGCGCGAGTTCGTGGATGTTCAGGCGGAGATGGAGCGGCAGGAGTATGGCGTCCGGAAGTTGTTCGAACTGGGTGATGAATTCTTTCAGTCGCTGGGGATGCGCGCATTGCCGCCAACCTTTTGGAACTTGAGTTTATTAACGCGACCCGAGGACCGCGAAGTAGTGTGCCATGCGTCCGCTTGGGATCTGTATCAGGACAGCGATGTGCGCATTAAAATGTGCACAGAAGTCTCCACGCACTATCTGTATGTGGTGCATCATGAGCTGGGACACATACAATACTATTTACAGTATGAGGAGCAGCCGGCAATATTCAGAGACGCGCCCAATCCTGGCTTCCACGAGGCTGTCGGCGATGTTGTAGCACTGTCGGTGATGTCAGCCAAGCATCTGAAGAGCATCGGGCTGATCCCGAGTGGCCGACTCGATGAGCGCAGTCGCATCAATGAGCTGTTCAAGCAAGCGCTGTCGAAAATTGCGTTCCTACCGTTTGGGTATACCATGGACAAGTATCGCTATGCCGTGTTTCGGGGCGAGATCGAAGAGTCTCAATGGAACTGCGCTTTTTGGCAAATGCGCTCGGAATTTGGTGGAGTTGAACCGCCCGTAGTGCGTACCAATAGCGACTTCGATCCCACTGCCAAGTACCACGTGGATGCGGATGTGGAATATCTGCGCTACTTTGCTGCCCACATTTTCCAATTCCAGTTTCATAAAGGACTATGTCGTTTGGCTGGGCAGTATGTGCCAGGAGATAATCGTCTTACACTTGACAACTGCGACATCTTTGGCAGCAAAGAAGCCGGCAGAGCCTTTCAACGGTTCCTCTCGCTGGGAAAGTCGAAGCATTGGAAGGAGGCGCTGCTTGAGTTTACTGGCGAATCCGAAATGAATCCCGCTGCCCTTTTGGAATACTTTGATCCGCTGTATCAATGGTTGAAGCGAGAAAATAGCCGCCTTAACGTGCCCCTGGGCTGGCCTGATACTAATAGTGAGTATGGAATAAACTTTTAATATAAATGTGTTAAATGTTTAATTTCTCTTTTACAGAAATTCCAAGCGATTGCTGCGGACCCTTCAGCACATGATTCAAATAAGACTCTGACTATTTCATAGATTTTAATAATTAAGTACTTGACAGAATGTTTTTGCAGAAATTACATTCGAAATACATTTGTTTAATTTTTGTACGAGAAATAAAAGAACGCATATCAACTGTATTTTAATTTCAATCGAACGAAAAAACACGAAATGAAGCCATTGAGCATTTTCTGATTTAAGAAACCATTGGGACTCTAAATATAGCTGCGAGTATATGCTTTCACATTACAATCCTATATATTATAAATTTGGGGCAGACGTGTCATCTCGCGATGATCTGTTAAATTGCCTTGTTGAGATGATCTGTAACCTCCTTATTATCGCCTGTTTCTTCAAATAAGTGTGCACAAGTGATGGGTTCGGGGCTACATATCTATTCCACATCGGAGCTGATTCAGATATGATCTGAGTCCTTGACACCAAAAACAATCGCCTAAACAAGATGTGGAAGCTCACTCTGCTTTTTATTGATTTGTATCACGAGGGAACAGGATAACTAATGGTCTCATAGAAGATTGTGTGAAATCTTGATTTTGTGTAAACTTCAAGACTCTAGTTAATACGATTAAAGGATTACTGTTTACGAGTGTTTAAAGAATAAAATGAGTAACTCCTGTTCCAAAATAAATCTATTCGAGTCATTACCGCACAACATTTTTGGGGTCTAACTAAGGGACCGACAATAAAATCTTAACAGTCTTTAGTTTTAAAGCAAATTTATGGCAAAAATAAACGTAAAATGGAATTCTAGTGAGTAGAAAATAGAATGCGGAGTGGAAGACCCAGAGGAAATGCATTTTTTTTTATCAGTATGATGATGTTATGCCTGAATGACTGCAAAGATCTTAGGAATTACTATATAAGAGCTGGAATTGCAATATTTGGTATTCATGTCCTTTTAACACCCTCACAATATTTTTATTTCATAATCTGGCAATTATTTGAATTTACTTATCATACACAGTTTAAGTGTATATTGTGTTTAGTGTGCTAATCCTAGGCTTCTTTTTTAAAGGACACAGATAATAATGTTGAGATTAAATTGGTCAGAACATAATACCACATAATTAAGATACAAACTATGTGCTCAGAAATATTGGTTGACCGAAAACTTGTTGTTTATAAAGACATATTTGAAAGAACCAAATTGAATGTAGAAAAATTTTCCACTGTCCTACCTGATGAGTACACCATTATTATCTCCACAGGTAGAATATCATTTAACTTGTTGATTTCAATATTAATCTGAAATTACGAAATATAAAAAACTGGAAAAGGTGTCAACTGATAGATTTATGAATGCATTATGAAGAGCTTTCACAAAATAAAGTTTGATTCTCAGTGCAAATGGATTCGAAATTATAAAACCGAATGAGTGATATTTAAAGTGATATTTATTGTATCGATCCGATCATCGTTTCATTTTTCATTGCATGATACATCATGATATTTCATCGTCGTTTGTTAATTTATCAATCAATTATACAGTTAGTTCAATAATTAGTTTGATTTAAAAACTATTGCCAATAATATAAATGTTAACATGTCTGTGTATCAAAATAAATGCACACACATTCTTCAAGCCTGTTCCTAGCGTTTATACAAAAAGTTTTTCAATATATCGTTATGTTAATGCATTCAATAAGTATTGTATACAATATTTTTGATATATGCTACGAAATATGCATGTTTATCGAATAACACGGGATAGCTTTGATCGCTTAGATAAAAGAGGCTTCATGTGTAGGGTAATTGAAAAATTTAAGTGTACACGCAAAAATCGTAAATACTGAAAATTTTTAACATACCTATATAGTTATAATTTTGTAATCTTCAATAAGTCAGAATTATTCTGCATCGCTTCACCTAATCCGAGTTATTCCGGACTTGCTTTAAAAATAAAGACCGTTTCAATACTTCAAAAGTTCTTCTGCCAATGCATATTTATGAATTGTTTATTTCTGGATACAGCTTGGGAAAATTTAGAGATCGAATAACTATATAAAGGCTCAAAACTAATGTGGGCTACAATGTGAAATTTGATTTTGTTTACTGGATTACATGAACTTTCATTTCGCCATATTACTACTGTAATGTTCATGACATACATATCCTCGTAGTATGTCCTTCGTTAATTGATATTAGCAAAAATGTGTGTGATTTCGTTTTCCGGTACTAATACTAGACCTTCATACACACACACGAGTATGTATGCATGTATGAATGATATATTGCATAGATAGTTTCATTCATCGTTGTATTTAGTTTAAAAATTTGTTGTATATTTGTTATGTACGTATGTATATAGATGTTTATTTAAAAACTTTATGTAGGTGTATGTCTCGGAAATGCTCATCTATAGAACGCCAACTTGCCTAAAGATTCTACATGCAACTGCGCAGTTTTCCAGCTAGGGGTTATTAGGATTAATATTGGACTAAGATCAGCTAGTTCATTGAGATACATATGTATGTTGAGAATCCACATTCCCAAATAGTTCGTAACCACATATTGATTTCTTTGCTAAGACTAAAGATGGGTGCAAACAGGCCAACAATTTGCGCAGATATATGTATAGTACATACATATATGTACATAGGTAAGGTAAGTATGTTTACTACAGAAATACATAATATTATAAAATGTTCAGATATCGCGCAAACGCAATAACTTTGTTTATAAAAACTATTTATCTGCGTGAACACATTTCGAAACGCTCATTATAACGACGAGAACAACAAACATAGCTTTTTTGTTTTGGTTTTTTCTTTTTTGTGTTATAGGCCAAGAGTTTAGTTTTGGTTGTTGTTAATATGAGTGAACATTGTTTTCAAGGTAATGCGCAAAAGTATCAATAGCAAGTATTTAACAAATATTACGCTGACTACGACTTATATATGTATGTATGTATTTATGAGTAGGTAGTTTTGAACAAAAAATACGCCACGTTTATACGATATTCGATGCAACACTTTTCTGTTCTATGATCAAGAAGCAATTTTTATATTAATGTAATGTTAAATATACAATTATAATATAGCATAGCATATATAAACACACGCAATGTAATTTTGTTTGCTTTTTGCCGAGGATCTTATCCTTTGCTACTTAAATATTATTATTGAATACAAATGTGTTTCTTCTTCGTGTTAAATATTAATCGTTAATACATAATTTTGTTTGGAAAAGCATATTATTTCTAATATCCAAGAACAACACGCGTTCCGCTGGAGTTGAGAGTGGGTAGAGAAGATGGCAAGTGCAAGCCTGGGTTCCTTTGAGAGTCAGAGAGCGACAGCTGGTGCCAATAGGGCATAATACAGGATATACTTAGGAGGATTATGAACATGCTAAATGTAATGTTGTTTTCTCTCTGTTTCGCTCTCTCTCGAAATTGACGCCTATGAAATGTGCAATTGACCTTTGATAAATATTTGCTGCCGTATTTTGTTTGTTTGTTTGTTGCTTATCCAGCTCTTGATTTTGTTGCCGTTATTCGTTCTTGGACTAAACTAGATTTAGTCCAAGAACGGATTTTGTCATACTGGCCGCTGGTGATGCAGCTGCTGCTGCTGCGTAACACTGCTGATGCTCTGGTTGCTGCTGCTGCTGCTTGCGCCACCAGCCTTGGATCTTGTGGGCGGTGGTGGTGGTGGCGCATGCCGCATGCGCTGTTGCAGTATACGCGGCAGCTGCGGGTGCGCCTTGTGCTGTGCCGGAGGAGCTGGCGGCGGCGCAGGGCGTTGTTGTAAATGCAGGTGCTGTTGCTGCTGCAAATGGTGGTGATGCTTGCCCATGGATGAGGCAGCCGATGATGAGCCCGAAGTGCCAGATGTCGAGCTGGTCGATGCGTGAGAGGTGGTTGAGCCTGTTGCCAACTTATTGGGCAGCACACTCGTAGCCGGGGAAGCTAGTGTCGACATAATTGCCGGCGTCGCGCGCGCTTTGGTTATACCAACGGGCTCATAAGAGCCATCGTCTTCATCCGAAGACAGCGAGTTTGCATCTGACGGCGTACGCGAGCGTGAGGGTGGTGACAGTGCATCCTGCTCCTGGAGGAACACACGAAAACCCTGTATGGATTCGTTCAGCGCCCACAGCTGGGACAGCAGCGATAAGTCTAGTTGCCGCAGTCCATACATTTCACGTCGCAATATGGCCAGCTGGGTGTCAATGGTGCTTGAGGCAGCCCCGGAACTATTGGTGGGCGTGTGTTGCTGACTTGCGCCGCCTCCACAACCGCTGTGGGTGGAGGAGGCACGGCTGTGCACACTCTCGCGATCGCTGAGCGACTCCTGTGTACTTGATAGGCTGCCATGACGCTGCCCATGGCCATTGTAGTTGCGATTGCGGGCCGCTGCCGAGGTGGATGGACCCAAATAGAGATCCCCTGCGGCTGCTGTTAGTGCAGCAACGCTGGCAGAGCCACCAGCAACCGTTGGATGCAGTGGTGATGAGGTGTGCGAACGAGTTTGTGGCAGGCCACTGTGTAGAAGGACGCTGCTGCTTCCGCCAGCAGCTGCACTTAGGCTTTTTGGCAGTGGTGGCAGGCCTGTGAGACCAACCAGCGAATGCTGGCGCTGCTGCTGTTCACTATCCATCATTTGGTATATTCCTATTACCGCTATTTCTCTCTGCTCTGCACTCAAATGGCAGGTCTTGCTTTTGTTGTTCCTGATTTTGCTTTGATTCGATTCTTGCTTTTGCTGCGTTTTGCTGCTCTTGATCTCGTTGTCGTTGTTTTGTTGTTATTGTTGTTGTTGTTGATCGCTCTAGTGTATATTGAATTTCCAACTTTGGCGGCACATTGGACACTGTTTGTTCAACGGTTGCAAATTCAGCCACTTGACAATACAATGCATGTGAAAACAATGCGAACAAACACCCCAAACAAGCGGACAGTCGTCACCGGGCAGCGCACACTCGGGGCACGTACTCTCGAAGGACATGCGGCAAATCCCGCAATTTTCATCATTCGCTATCCAACGCCAAGATGCTACTCCCGTCCATGACTTTATTGTTAATTTCATTTTGCGCACATTTGCTTCATATATGCCAAAGTGTGTGTGTAAACGAAATATGTATAAATAAATCTATAATGCAGTGCGCTTTTCACAAAAAACTGTCGCGCTCCTCCACTTTTTCAGTGAAAATAGGTCGATAGTGGAGCAAGAAATATCGTGTATCTCAAGCGTACACGATTTCAATCGATGTGTATCGATACTTATCGATATATCAAAGTGCTACAAATGCAAATGTCATCAACTCGCCCATCTCTATGCAAAGGCAACTTAACATTGGCGCCAATTTAAATTGCAAAAAATCGTTCGTTCTCTCTCGTAGAAGCTAAATAGTTTTTCAAAATTAATAAATTAATTCAGAAATGGTATTTTATTAGTTTGGTAGATGCAGATAAACTTTGGTATTTAATCGCGCTATTTCCCTTATACTTGTTATTACTTACTTTTCTATCAGACTGTTTTTCTCAATTTTTAGCTTGCTGTCTTGCTGGCTTAATTGTATATTGAAAATGTATAATACAATAATACAATTTAATACAATCATTTATCTTTATACAGATATTATAACAAATTTGGAATGTCTGTGTGTGTTTGAACTGATGGTTTTCAAAAAATAGCTAAAGTATTTAAAATAAGGCTAAATAGAGGAATAAAGTTGTTGTTTCAGTTAACGAAGCAAACATTTCTGTGTTACCAACTCCCGAAATCCAAATACTTTCATTTAAAAAACCATCCTGCATTTTGTAAAATACATATGTATGTACAGGTGCGCCATCTTTTATGTCGGTGTGTAGATATTGAATGGCTTTGCCATTAGTGAACCGATTGACTTGAGTAGACCAGTGTTGAAAACCTCAGTTCAAGAAATTGTATAGAACCAAATTAAATAAAAATATCTCATACTTGAAAATCGGTTGTTTATTTTCAAAGATATTCAGTGTTTACATACCGACATAAAATATGGCGCACCCTGTATGTATTCATTTATGGCATGTGTGTGTGTAGCAGCTTTTAATGGCCATCAATTTAATCAAATTTCTTCAAAAAGTAATATCCTCCGAGCTCGAGGGTGTTGATGGAAGGATGTAATAGTGATGTTTCTATTTATTATATATTTATTAATATATACATATATACTATGCATATAGCATTTATACATACTTCTTTAATTGCATAAATTTGAATCAGGATCTGAGCAGCAACAACAACAAGACTTAGACTAGACTTAGATTACACTTATGGCTATAAGTTCCTTAGAAATAAAGCATTTAGGAGACATATTAGCACATGGGTAAGTAGACTCTAAAGCAATTCCTAACTCCTACTACTACTATAGATTTGTACAAAGTGAGGGTGCATCAAAAAGATACTTAATCGTACGCTTTCTTTGATCGACAAGTAGGTGCACTGAAAACATGCACACAAGTTTGGTTACTCTAGCTCTTATAATTTTAGGCTATATGAAGCGTCCTTCTAGATATTATATACTTTCGCATTAAACTAATATGCTAGTTAACCCGTTGATAACGGCGTTCACACCGTAGCGGAAATTCTTACGAAAGCATGGATGGAGGAATTGCCATCAAACGGTCTGATCTGCTGTTCTAAAAGGTGTTCTATTCTATTCCAACCATGGGGACCAATTAATCGGGAAAAATAATCTATATATGCCAGATTGTCAGAGTTTTCGGTTTTGGCGAATAACGATAACCCAACACATTATCTTCGATGTAAATCTTTTGGAGAATAAAGCCTTGTGGGTGCCAGGACATCGGTGAGTATATTATTAAATTGAAGCATAAGTCCCACATTAGAAGATGATGAACCACTTACACACTGCAATCAAGCTTGCGTCTATTTTTGTTCCGTTTGTGTTCGAATGTCGACTCTTGGGATCATTACGGAGGCTAGCCATTTTCCTACGATCAGCGATGTAGGGTTAAAGTTCTGAACCTAGTGTGATAATTTTTTTTTTACGGTTTTGTGATTTGTCCGCAAGCAACTTTTAAAAATTTAAATGATTAAGATATGAATTTCCGTGAATTTGTGGCAACATTCTGAAAACTGAATGATGTTTGAATTAGTCTGCGATAGAAACATCATGCAGTATGTGCTGCGACGCTATATAATATGGTTTTATCTACTTATCTCGCCTGCCATTAGCTTTTCTTTGGCACAATCTGGCGTATTTGATGGTTTACCGTTGAGACTAGTGTTATAAAAAGTCATGTAATTTATGTCTCTGATACCACTTTATTAAATTTTATTATAATTTGATAATAATCATACTCGAAACTTGTAATTGATAGTGTTATGGTAGATGGAATTTTGTTAAGTTATACGTATTATATTGGTAGCATAGAAGCTATTGGTTTAAATATAAATTGCTTTTAGATGAATAAATTGTGCGTTTATTACAATGTCGAAATGAAATTTGGTACTTTTGTGTTTTTGATAATAGGAGGAAACTTTTCTTCTTACTATTATATCATAGTAATGTCAGTCAGACATATTACAAATTATATATAATACCCATTCAGATTTATTAATATATACATATATACTATACAATATAGTATATATGTATATACATATATATATATATGTATATATGCATTTATACATACTTCTTTAATTGCATAAATTTGCATCCGGATCTGAGCAGCAACAACAACAAGAGCATGACTTAGATTACACTTATGGCTATAAGTTCCTTAGAAATAAAGCATTTAGGAGACAACTTAGCAGTGGACTTAGCAAAGTGGACTCTAAAGGAATGCTGTACTCCCAAGTACTATAGAGTTGTACAAAATGGGGGAGTTGGGGGTTTTGAAGGTTCATCCACGTTACTATACTACACTACATTATATAGTTGCCATGCTGTCCCATGTAGCTGTCAGACAACTCCACTAATGACTACAAAGATTTATCAATATATGGATACTGCTTACATTAATCGTTTCTTAAATTCACTCTTTTGTCGAAATTTATGAACACAAATTATGATTTAATGCATAATGACTATATGAAGATGAGAATAAGGTTGAAGATATGTCCTATTTTACTAAACCTATTTTCTCAGTGGGCCACAACTTACTTTTCAAGTTCTTAAACTAACAACATTATTGCAATTTTCTACAATACTGGTTCACTTGTATAGGATAACGATAGTGTAGGATAACGAATTGTGTAAGCAAAAATTAGTGTTAACGTAAATTCGTGGTGAAACATGATTTCTTTTTCAGTTGACATCAAACTCGAAAGGAAAGGTTCTTTAAAGGGATCATGTGGTGTCAGTGTTAACGCGAAAAAAAAGTGTAATTCTAGAAGCCTGCCAGTAACAACTTAAAAGAAAATATAAATATATCACATAAGCGATACTAGATTGGTGCGACTGTGATAACAAAGGAGTCGAAGCAGATACTTGTTTTGAGCAGTACGAGATAACTCAACTCTGTTGGCTTTAAAAAATGGTCGTCCAGGTTATATCTTCCCCTCGAAAAACTATATTGTCCATGCATTTATGGTAAATCTTAATATCTTTAAGGGCAAAACTTCCAAAGGGCAAGACGAAGCTGTTATGCAGAAAATATGAGTGGTTGTTGGTTGTTTTTAATATAAGACAATAAAAACAATAAAAAACGAGTTTACTCTTAAAACTTAAGCAACATGTATTTTTTTAATTAAATAAATAAGAATGTCATGCCATGAATGTATCTGTGGCGTTAAAATTGCATAAAGATTATATGTATATACTTGTATGTATGTGTGTATAATCGCACAAGCATGTTCGTGAATATATGGCCAAGTGTGTAATTTTATTGTCAGGGTTGTCGGGTTGCTTGTGTTTTAAGTTGCTGCCGCCTTTGTTGTTAACGCTCTTATTGCCGGGACACCGACACCGACTCCGACGCTGACTCCGACCTGCCGACAACAACGACCGACGAGCGACGCGCGACGACTTCAGTAAGCCGACGATTGTTGAACTTGACAAACGTGTGCGCGGATCGGTGTCGAAGCTTTTACGGTAATTGTGTTTCGTTTTGGTTTCTGCTTTTTGTTTGTATTTAAAAGACGTTTTGGCTCAACTGTTGTTGCGCAGCCTGTTTAAGTTACCCTCGTGCGTGAAAAGTAAACATCATTAAATGTGTAATAAAGTTAAATAGTAGCCCAAAAAGCGTTTTAAAAAGTTTATAAATTACTCCATGAGGAAGCAAATGGAGTGGATTGTGTGAAGAGGCAGCTGATCGAAAGCAGAAAAAACAACGGCGCATTAAAGGAGTCGTGAAAAAATTCCCAGTGCCTGTTTCCATATGCTTGTTGTGCAAAGTTAATGAAACATACAAAGAAAAATTAACGAAGTGAACGTTTTGTGCGATCAACAAAAAATAAAAACATAAAAAATACTACACTATATAGTATAAGTGTATAAATATATAAACAGCAACAACAACGGTGTTTAAGAACCTGTAATTGAAAACGCACTTGAACACACACACACACACAAAGGCGCACATATGTATGTATGTATATGTGTGTACATATATGTATATGAATGTTTTCAAATGTTTGTACGTACTATATTTAGTACCTGTTGTTGACCCTGAGCGGGCTTTTTTCCAAGAACAATCTGTTGCTTGAATATTCAGATTTAGTCAGTTGTGTAAATTCTTCGGCTATCGAATCACCATTCATTCAACAATAACTGCGCATGCGCGCCCCTCTCTAGCCCTGGCTAGCTCTGTCAATCTGATATCATCTGCAATTTTCTTGAATTCTACACTACCTACATACATACATACATATGTATGTCTGCACTATGTACATATGTATGTACCATTTAAAGTATATATGTATGTATAGTTTTTGTGTGTGTGCTCGTGCAATTATCTTTAATTACAATTCAAATGCCAAGTCCATTTCGAATGTGCGATTTATGTGAACTCCTCCGTCATGTGGCTCGGCCATAAAAGCTGTGAATAAACTGCGAGTACGTATGGGTGTGAGCTTTGTTGAGAAGATGAAAAAAGGTTCCAGCATTTCGACGTGTTGTTTAGATTAGTCATGGGCCTCTACATTATTTAATGCAGATTGAGAAGCTTATACGGCTATCTTATTGCATTCGACATAAATTAAACAAGCACTGTATTTTATATTTAGAATAGATTGGTGTATAGTTAGGCAGCTGTGCCATACCAACCCCTAATGCCCTAACTCCTGCATTATAACTGCATATCAAATTTCCAGAAAACCAATTTTATGTTCAATATCTAATCGGTTTTCCGTCGGCCACAATGCTTTCAGCACTGGTGGACTTGTTCTTGAGCTTATAGGGCGTTCGATGAAAGGTGGGAGACGGCAATCGGAACACAATCCGTTATCAACAAAATTACTGTAACAAGTGTCAAACCACTGCCAAATTGATAAAGAATTGGTCGACAATCACCAAAGCTTTCTCTAACGCCAACAAGTACGCTAGTTACCCACAGCCACCATATCGAAATTTATTGGGTATTCAGGAATTTCCTTTTGGAATTAGTAGCACTCATGTCACTCAATTGTCCATTGGATATTATCCATGACTCATACGCCCAGTCAGCCGACGTCATTGTTATGCATGTGTCAGTAGGAACTGAGAAGAGAATTTTTATTGTAAGTACGCGGAACTGAAATTGCCATTGGAATTATGTATTCGATGATGCCTGCGAAAACTGACAATTACTTTGTTTCACGCATTAATGTCATGGGAATTTGGATACTATAGCAATAGAGCTGAGTAAGGTTTCAATAACGTGCATACACCTATATACATATACACACATCCACCTACATACATATATAGACACTTTAAAGCAATCTTTTCTATATGGTGGAGGCCTTTTGATTGTCTCGCTAGGTGGTAGAAAGCTTTTATGGCTTATTGCCTTGTCGCAGTCAATTACTTGACAAATAAGATAACGGATTTGTATATGACATATATACACATTTACGATCTGCTAAATATTTGTTAATACTTCACATGTCATCTGTACGCTGCTAAATGAGTTTCCACTAAAAAACAATACAATTGAAGCGATAATATTTAACGAATAACATACATATATACATAGTACAAGCGTTGGAGCCCGTTTTCCCCCCTTTGGAGTTCGAATTTTCCAAAACCGCTTCAAATCAGGACAAACTGTTTTATATTTAGAGATTTCGCATAGCCAGTATTGTCTATAGTTATGTGTAAGGATGAAATGAGATACTTGAAAGTCTAAACGCCAAATGTATGTAATGGACAGTCAGACCTAACGCTATAGGTATATACTTGTATATATATGATTAGTATGATGAGACTAATCGATGTACATATGTGTATACGCCTGCTGGACCGCTTCTCAGTCCCTACTTTTGGACAATGATACCTCATCGTGCTCGGATAACAGCTAAGCGCTTCAAACTTGGCATGCAGACTTGCAATAATAGTCTAATTATTATTAATTGATATATACATATATATATATATCTGCAGCACGACCGCTCAGTAGAAAAATACCTTTCTCTAGAATCACATTTTGGATATCTTAACCATAAATACTTGTTAGCTCATATACCTTGCATAGGAACGACTAGGGCGAAGTTTTTTGTAGAGAGGGGCCAGTACATGAGACAGGATCAGGGGTCCTTAATGTTCTACTAAGAGTAGAATTGTCATATAATAAAAACCTTCTAAAGTTTTAGTGTTGAATAAACATTTATAGGTTTTGAAAATAAATCGTGCGAATACTTTTTAAGGAAACAACAAATTTGTTCGTTTCTAATAAATTTCAAAAGAAATGGGGAATGATTTATTCGCTAGCTTAATTTCTAGTTTTCGAAGTAAATGTCGTCAGTCTATAAATTTAAAATCTAACAATGGACTATTTGAAATGAGTTTGGCACGTTTATGACTTTATTTGGATTTCAGCCCAATAATTAACTGAATTAGTAACGCTGTGCGACTACATAGTTCCATGTGTTGATTTAAACCATTATAGCTGTTTACCTAATGTCTAAAATAAATAACAACAATTACACTGCGCCAATGTATTGGCTTAACACATTTACCGTACATCGATGAATGCGCCTTCCAGCAATTTAAAAAACAACCACGCTCTCCCAGAATTGATGCATTTGGGCCACTGGTCCGATGTCAATAACCGTGTGCATGTTCATGGCTCATGTCTAAAGCCCGGCAAGCGTGCGTTGCCCCATTATTTACTGTTTTTTTTTTTTTTTTGCTTTTTTGCTTTAAGCATTGACAGTTCAAAATCAAGCGTTTTTATGCAAGCGATCGGGCTCGAATGCAATCGAGTTTCGCTTGATTGTCGTCAGTTGATGTTGTTGGCCATGCTTTGAAACCTTGTTGCTTTCGTTCTTGGTCAGTCTGATGCCAATGTTCGGAGTTTTTTCGAACGAATTAAGCTGTAAAAACAGTGATCGCCAGGCGGAGTCAAAGTTATGCGATGCTGAGAAAAAACTGATTAATCTGTCTGGCTTCGTTAGAAAATATTGACCTAAATAAATCGTTCCTAACCTTTGAAAATATGTGGATTTACTTTGGTGAGGAGCTGAAAAATTCAATAGACATAAATATTATATATAATGGTCCCAGACACCGCTAAGGATAAATAGAGTTTAAGAACTATATAAATAAATTAATTAACATAAAGTTCTAGAGGGAAATAAAATACCACTTTCAGCAGAAAGAAGAATACGGAGTTTAATGTTGAATAAGAGCAATGATGTGTGATTGGAGCGATACGGACTGAATATTGGGTGTATTGTTTCTATTTTGCCTAACCCTTCTGTACCTCAGAAGCTTAAAAATTAATAATTACCCTAGTGGGATATAAGATTTTTGTTCATTTTCGGATTTTATTTACTTCCTCCATCATCAGCTTAAATATATATTTAAAAATTTAAATATGTGCAATATAATATCCGAAAATTCCGTTCAAAATGAAATATTCAATATGTTCTTACTAACGAACTTACAAAAAGTATTAAATCTCAATATAAGTGAATTATTAACTGTTTTAAATATATGTGATTCTTTTGTTTCTTCAACGATTTTAATGCTTGAAATTCAAAATTTTAACCACTTCTTAAGGAATAATAGGAATAATAATTAATAAGAATAATATGGATTGACGACTTCGATAAGTGAGAAATATAATTAAAATACGAAATTGTGTTTGTGACGTTTAGATTCAATATAAACCGGTGATTATCTGTAAATTTCAATTACCTCTCTCGAAGAGCGCTATTATTCACAGAAAGGGAGTCTAAAAAAAGTAAAAAAGTCGGGTGTCCCGACTTTGAAATACTCTGTACATATGTTTACAATAATTATAGAAAAAAATAAGAAAATTTAAAAAAATTTGATCGATTTTACCTTTCTCTCGAACTCACGTAAAGGGTATATAATTGCACATATACAAAGCAATTGCGTCTATGTGAGTGTATGTATGTTTATGTGCGTCTATTTGTGTCTGTGTAAGCATTTTCGCAGTCAACTAAACAGCAACATCAACAACAGCCGTGGGCAGCGCTTGGGCAACGCCAAAATTCCAAGAATTACGGGAGTTAGAGAAAATCGCATTTGCGGTGGAGAGGGGGGAGGGAGGGAAATTCCAAAATATACATTTTCTGCTTATTCACACAAGGCATCTTGGACTAAAATTTGGTGTTCCTAGGTTTTATAGTCTCCGAGATATAGGCGATTATACGAATGGAAAATCGGGAAAACCCACATAGGGGGAAGTGGGGGGGAAAATCAAAAAAATAAAACAAACTCGTATAGAATACACACATAACGCATCTTTGTGCAAAATTTGGTGTCTCTAGCTCTTATAGTCTCTGAGATCTAGGTGATCATACGGACGGACAGACGGACAGTCGGACAGACAGACAGACAGGGCTAAATCTATTCGTCTTCTCATGCTGATCAAGAATATATATACTTTGTGGGTTCTACCACGCCTCCTTCTGCCTGTTACATTTTTCAGCTCGCGCAAACCTAATATACTCTTGTACATTTCATGTACAGAGTATAATTACAGAGTTGTACGAATAGACACTTTTATTTAATACAATTATTAAATATAAAGTCATCGAATGAACCTGCTGTAAGGGTATTCAATTTTCAAGGTGCATTGTCAATTTGCTTTCTACTTTTTATTGTGGGAATCGAAGTAGACACGCGTGTGTGGGGGCCGTGTTGGCATTATAAATTAGTATTTTAGTAGCAATAAAACACGCAAATACTTTTTTCGTGCAGTACTTATTTTAGCCAACTTGTTAGCAATCATTCGCTTCGTTAATTATGAGAAACGACTGATACGTCTTACGGATTTTTATACCCTTTGCACAAAGGTTAAAAGGGTGTATTGGGTTTGTGAAAAGTATGTAACAGGCAGAAGGAAGAACATACATGCTTATATTCTTAGTAAGCATTAGGAGACAAAGAGACTTATTATGGATAAGAGCCTGGATTTTAGGAATGGGTAACACCCCAATAACCAAAATTGGTGTGTAGAGTCTTCTAATCCCTAGGCAAGACGAGTTTGTTTTATTTTTTGATTCCCCTCTCCTCCCAATACTGTCCATAGCTAAATAGCTTCATTAACTAAACTCTTCAAATAAATAACATACACTTTTCTACCTCTATTTCAAAATTCTTCCAATTCCACAAGTAGCAGCAGCGGGTAGCTGTTCTTTTTCTTCTTTCGTATACGACAGCGTCGTGTTTTTGTTGGGGTAGAGGGTATTCCACTGTCGGGCTCAACATTTTCTCTTGTTGTGCCTGCTTTAGTTACTATTCAGTAATATTGAGCTTTATTTGAAACTATTTTTTTCTCCGAATAGCGAAAACGTACTACATTGAAACACTCAATAAATTAGCCCTCAATAAATTAGTAAAGTCTCAAACAATGCGGATTAGAGTTTGTTTTGTAATCATTC